GAGATCAGAGTTGAGATCCAAAGTATTCCGAAAATTCGTCCCAGTCAACCGCGAACTTTCGAAAACTTTGGAGGGGGTTCTGTAGGCTGTCTAAAAATCACAATAGATAGTTAATCCCTCATCAAACACCGATGATGGAAGTTATAATCTGACGACTTCCAGAAGGCTACAATTTGAGGACTTTCACGTAGAAGGTTACAATCTGACGACCTTCACAACAACTAATGAAGGCCCCAATTCAACAGCATTCACAATCAACATCGGGAGTTACAACCTGACGACTCTCATATTTTCAAGGAGCCAAGACGAAGATTACAAGAGGACGATCTGTGCAAAGCTCTAGCAAAAGAGACTACAAATTGACGGTCTCTTCATATTAAAATGCAGATATCTCTCAAACCGTAAGGAATTTGGCAAAATAGAGGAAGCGAACCGAAGCCTTTGGCTCGGTTCGGATGGCCCCGTCTTGTCGAGATAGCCGATTTTCATATATAATTCGTCTAATTCCGACTTACGATTTGAAAGTTATGACCTGTTCTTCGCAGCAAATTATGTTCTGAGGTCCGTCTGCAAGACTGGACTTCATCAGAACATTGGACTTAGCCTGAAGCCCGCCAAGCCCGCCTAAGGTTCGCCTCTGCATTACAGAGTCAAAGCGCACATGCTCAACTCTGCGTTTTCAACATCAAAACGCAGAGTTAATCGCTAAAACAGCACAACTGTGCGTTTTCAGCCTTTAAACAGGCTCAACTCTGCGTTTTCAATCTAGAAACGCAGAGTTAATCTTTAAAACAGCACAACTGTGCGTTTTCAGCCTTTAAACAGGCTCAACTCTGCGTTTTCAGTCTAGAAACGCAGAGTTAATCTCTAAAACAGCACAACTGTGCGTTTTCAGCCTTTAAACAGGCTCAACTCTGCGTTTTCAGTCTAGAAACGCAGAGTTAATCTCTAAAACAGCACAACTGTGCGTTTTCAGCCTTTAAACAGGCTCAACTCTGCGTTTTCAGTCTAGAAACGCAGAGTTAATCTCTAAAACAGCACAACTGTGCGTAATCCCCTATAAATAGGGGGAAACTCAACTAGTTCAGGGGCTCTTTTTTGAGCTGACATTTTGGGGATCCTTGATCGGGCATCTTTGAGCTTTCTGCAGCAACAGAGAGCTTTGGAGATCAGCGACTTGAAGGAGCTCTTGAATCATTTTGGAAGGCTTTTATTGAAGCCTTTGAAATTATTCGGCCTTGGCTTATAACCGACTTTCGGTTCAAATCAATTCTTTTTCAAGAGTTCAAACTCGTACAGAGTTATCAACTCGGTCAGAGTTCAAAACTTGCTCTGCAAGTTCTTCTAAAACTCGTTCAGAGTTATCAACTCAATCAGAGTTCAAAACTTGCTCTGCAAGTTCTTCTAAAACTCGTTCAGAGTTATCAACTCGTCAAGAGTTATTTTCCAAAACTTGCCACGCAAGTTCTCCACAGCGTCAAATCGTGAGGAGAAAATCACGTTCCAGTGAATCAAGACGTTCGGATCGTCAACGAGAAGCAAACTCGACGCGAGCATTCGAGGGAGGCATCTCATCGCCGCCGTGAAGAACCCAGAATTAAACAAAGGGGAGAATCAAATTCATTCTCCTCTCTTTTATAATCGGAATCCAAATTGTAATTGATTTTGAGAGGAATACAAGTCAATTTTTCTTTCATTGTCTTTTTACTGCAAATTTCCAACAAACACATACTTATATCATGATCATTGATCGAAATGAAATAACATGTCAACGTGAATAATCAAGGTCTAGTTTTCAGGATTCCAAACTCCCCAATCATAGGATAATCAATAAACTGTGCATGCCTTTATACACCCACCGGTGAGTGTCCTCACACAGGGCATTGTCCCCACCGGGACCCATTACTATTACCACCCACCGGTGAAGCTTAGTTCACACAGGGCATAATCCATGAATATAGACTATCAATCATCAACAAAGAAAAGAATACTATCATTATCAATAGTCAAACCATCGAAGCAAGTCAAAATGCTACAATATAATTATTCAAGTGAATATCAATGGTATAAAACAAAAATAAGCAACATTAGGATAGCAATGATTAAGCAATCAACAAAGTGCCTATGCATAAAGCGAATCAAATAGGAATATTACGAAAGTGATAAGATATACAACTTAGCGTGAGAAACTAACTCACAGGAATTTCAAGAGGTAATCAATCGAACTCTCAAAGACTTGAGAGGAGACAATGAAAGGTTACCTACCGATTATGCCAGGATCCTCTCGGCCAACGAATAGATTCTATGTCCTATATATACATACATGTATACCCACATGAGATTCTAAACACTATGTCTTTTATAAATTTTCTAACTTAAAACTTATATCATGTTATAAGAAACACTCTAGATGCTTACATCCGATATCTATAATATGCACAGCAGCAAAAGTAGTGTACATGCAACAGTTTGGGATGGATGAATGATAAAGCAATCAATATCCAAAATATATGAAACTAGTTCCATATGACTCTAATATGAGCCTACTTTTGTAATATAAAAAATTTATATCAATACATGGTAAATAGTAAGAGTTATGCTCTCAATAAACTACACCTATCAAAACTGTAGCAGAAAAAAATAGAGATTGCTCTCTCGAATGAATAATTCATTTCGGGTACTTAACACTATACAAAATGAGCTCATATTTGACATATAAGTAGTATGATAGATTAGCTTCCAAGTCCCATGAGTTTCATCAAACTTTTATTTTTATAATGCATGATACATACAAATTAACACGAGGGGGGCAGACTGAAATTGCCAATGCATATGCTATATATTAAAACTAGGCTTAGACTTATCAAATGTTATCCAAATAATTCAATCTTGAGCCAACATAAAGATGATTGAGTCTAGCTCTAGGAACAGAAAGAATTCTATGAATGCAATGCACTTGTTGAGAGTTATGTTCTCTACAATGATCATGACTCAGGCAAACTATTTTAGACACATGCATTACATCTAACTATAGTTTAGAACAAGTAATTGATCTTAGAATCAAACAAAAGATGTCTCAAAAGAAAGCTACAGAAGTCTAGTTTATGAAACATGAAAAATAACTATATTTAGATATGTATGGAGTAAGTTATGTTCTTCTTACTAGGAGAGTATCATGCTATAATTTCTGTATGAATACTTATATTACATAAACCGACACGCAACCCATGTTTACACTAATTCAAAGCAAGATAATTATTACTTGATCACATTGGGCTTGAAAACCAATAATTTTCATATTTTCTATGCTCATAGATATAAAAATCAAAATTTTATAACTTTTCATTGGCATGCAAGGGTCAATCCTTACTTAAATATAACATGCAATGGTAAATCCTCACATGCAAGACCAAAAACTAAATTAAATCCTATAATTTTAGTATTATATTCCTAATAACAACATGAAAAGAGAATTATAAGAAATTATACCTAGGTTTGAGACTTTGCTCCACTTCCTCCTCCAAATTCCTCAAACTACCTTCTTTCTCCTCTCATTCTTATTCAATCTCTAGAGCTTGAGAGATGAAGCTATGAAATATATATATTTTTTTCCTAAAACAAGAGGAGAGGTGGCTGGGGTTTGGTCGGCTAGAGGAGAGGGAATGGGGTTTGAATTTTTTTTTAAATGACAAAAGGAGAGGTGGAGTGTACTAGTATATAAAGCCCGTGTGAAGAGGAATCTTCAAATTTGGCTAAAGTTGAGAGTTTTTATGCAAAAATTCATTCATTAACATGACTAATCAAATTAAACAATTATGTTAATTAGAGAGTTTCAAAATAGGTATTTAACAATTGGGTTATCTCTAATTAAAGTTTAAAGCATGGTTAGTTTAGGTTTACATGCTAACTTTGTATGCATGATATGACTTAGTTAACTAGATCATAATATGAGAATTAGCTAAGTTAAAATCCTCACACTAGAAGATTATATAGGATACAATGAAGGAAAGGAAAGAATTTACTGATTTATGGATCAGTATCGGTAGCGGTATTCGATCATCGGAAGGAAAAATTTGTAATGTTACAATAGGCCTTCCGGATTGGAAGATATGGTTGTTTATTTATGGTTAATTAATAATTCATTTGTCTCTGCATTTAACACGTGAAAGTCTCGCTTCTCTAAGAATTTGATCGCTATGCATCCTACATCATTAGGTCCCTTGAGGGATGTAGTGTGATGGCAGACCTCTTGGAGCTATTTTCAGTGTTCGGTGTGTCTGCGGTTCCTTGAGGTATGTGAGATGAGTGAGGGTTTTCAAATTTCATCCATGCAAAAGTTGTATCGTTTGTATTGGCTATATTGAAATTTGTGGATATTGTAGATTTTCCTGATGAGGAACTGCAGATACAAGCATGTTTGGCTTAACCACGTAAAAAACTCTTTATTGTTGTGTTGGTGTTTGTACTACTTTTTTGTGTATGGTTAAAAAACTGCAGATACAAGCATGTTTGGCTTACAAATATTGTAATTTATTAAAGAAAAATTAAAAGAACAAATTAATCGGCCTTAGGCAAAACGTGGTGAATTATTGCCCTAAAAAGGTATCTGAGCTTTCCCTGAGGCTGATAAATTTTTTCTTTTAATTTTCTTTAATAAATTACAATATTTGTGAATTCTAGTGTAACAATTTAAAGAGGTATATGCCGATCTCGTTTGATCAGCTAAGGGGAGATACTCCTTAGTGGTACGATCCCTTCTCTGCCGGAACTCTAGCGTCCACGACCATGTTGTGGATGAAGACCCCTGAGTGATTAGCCCAAAAACTATAGCACAAGGCCGCGTTGGGTGTGAACACCATTGAGTAAGCAACCCAAAGTATAGCAAAATATTAGATCTAAGCGGGCCGCTTAAATGGCCCGCCCAACTATTTCAAAAAACAAAAGTTAAAATCGGTGCTGAACCCAAACCCGAACCCAACTTCACAGATGGGTGAAAAGAAAAAAAAGGAAACGGATCCGATTTCTCTCCACGCCGCCAAGAGATCGGCTCCTCTCTCTCTCTCTCTCTCCTTCAGACCCGTTCTAGGGCTAGGGTTTTCTCGGCTCCTTCTCCTTCGAAGCTTGTCGTTCGCTCCTCCCTCGAACCTCGTCGTCCCCCGAATCTCGTCGTCGACTCCTCCCTCGAAGCTCGTCGTCCCTTGCAGCTCGTCTCCCTCGAAGATCGTCGTTTACTCCTCCCTCGACCGTCTTCCCTCCTTCAGGTTCGCATTTTGTCCCCCTCATGAAATCGCCGTGTCCCTGCCGTTTGGCTGCGGAACCGTACCCAAACCGCACCCGACACGGGTACGGCACCCATTTTGCCGTGTCGGGGTGTCATAGATATTCACAGATGGGTGATGTAATTGGAAGCGTGAAGCAACAAATTTCAAGATTATTTGAAGTCTCTCTTAAAACCACATTCCCTGACGAGGGAAACACAGAGCCAATGGTGGCTATGTCCACCCAAAAGTTTGCTGACTACCAGTGGTATGGCCTTTATCCTTATATCACTGCTTTAAAACTAATTTTGATCAAGAAAGAGAACAACTTTTTTTTTTCTCTGGTTCCTGCTTCAACATTGTTGAAACTAATTTTTATCCCATTTCAGTAGTACTGGTTTTTAGAAGCTGGGTTAACAGTTAACACTAAATTCTTGACTAGACTTTCTATAAAAAGTTTGGTGTGATTTGATTTATTTGATTTACTTTGTCGAGCTAAAAGACGTATCATTATGTGTTATGCAGCAATAATGCAATGAGCTTGTTTTCCAAGATCAAAGGAAAGTCCACAGACTATAGAAACCCAAATTCTGTTGGTCAGGTTTGGCTACTATACAACATAGTTTGTGCATAAATATTTGGGATATATTATTGTCTCGTTTGCTCAGCCATTAATCAGATGTTTACTCTTGTGATTATTTATATTATTGTTTCTCCATAAGATGTATATATTTTGCAGGCTATTGCCAGAAATCTCCCTCCATCAGATATTATTGAGTCTACATCTGTTGCAGGACCAGGTTTTGTAAATGTAGTTCTGTCAAGCACATGGGTGGCTCAGGTTGTGTTTTATGAGGATTACAAGCACGTTATTTTTTATTATATATAAACTGGAACGTGCACATTCTTTTTCTAATTCTACTCTAATTTCACTATGGTTTATTGTGCAGTATATACAAAGTATGCTGTGCACATTCTTTTTCTAATTCTACTCTAATTTCACTATGGTTTATTGTGCAGTATATACAAAGTATGCTATTGAATGGTATTGAGACATGGGCACCACTTTTATCAGTTAAAAGGGCGGTGGTTGACTTTTCTTCACCTAATATTGCAAAAGAAATGCATGTTGGTCATTTAAGGTCAACTATAATTGGAGACACTTTAGCTCGAATGCTGGAATTCTCTAAAGTTGATGTTCTACGACGGAACCACGTTGGTGACTGGGGTACACAGGTGCATACTCTTTGGTGTCTGTTTCTTACTCTTAACTTGTATTTGAACAATAGCTGGATTTTAGTGACTATAATTTGAGTATTAGTGCTTATTCTCTTAAACATGCTCTTAACAGATGTGAAAATCCCTCTTACTTCGAAGAATGAAGTTTGTGATTTTAATTGCCTGTTGTAGGATTAATACTTTTGGTAGCTTTGTTAGACTTACCCGCGTGCCGCAGCTTATGTTTGTTACTGTTGCCTGCAATTTATGATTTCTTAATCGAGTGATTTTTAAAGATTTTAGGAACTTCTTTGTGAAACATTAATTTAATCTGCCTGGTAGGTACAGTCTTTCTCACTGATCAAACAATAAAGTGAAAAGGATTATTAAACGTTTGATAAGTTTTTGGATATGTTTCTTTTCTGATATGAGATTGGAATGTAACTAATAGACCACATCTCACAAGGACGAATATTACCTCTGTATGCTTCTTTTTGATCTGGAAAAATCTGTCTGATGCCTTTGGCTTTAGTTGATTTCTATTCCATCATTCCTAGGATCACAGTACCTAAGTTGTCCTGTGGCAGAAGGTTGTCATCTTCTTTTCTAGAAGGATTTTTGACACATTCTCTGGGCTTTTTGGGCAATTTGGACATTATGATCCCTTTTGGATATCTCAGACTCGTCTCTTTTTCTTGCTGCTACTGAATGATCCATATGAATATTATGTAGCTGTCGCATTATACACAATTTTTGACTTTAATAGACTTATTGATCAACTTGTGAGTCACTTTTGCATACCCGTGAGATTATGGTATCACAAGAAGGGAGTTTGGTGGTTGGGGTTAGGGTTGTCAGGGAGTTGGGGGGTATTAGTTGCTCTCAACAGTACAAATGTTACATCGATAGAATATGATATAAGAATAACTCCAAATATGATCCTTAATTAGCAATTCATTTTGACTCTTATGGTTACGCGGTAAGTAATTTTTGGGTCTAGTTGGGGTTTGACAAGCAAAATAAAATGATAGTGCAATTCTCATAAGAAGTCTTTAGATGTGTATAACCATATTGTTTTTTCCTCTTCTAATCAGATATCATATGACTTATTTCCTTGCAAAAAATAGAATAGTTTGGGTTGGATTTGTTCTGATAAACGTTACATATTATACCAACTCATCGGAACAAATCCTACATAATCTAGAGTTTCGGAAATAAAAGTCTCAAATAGCAAGAATTGAGGGCTACTTTTGCTTCTATTAAAACAATGACTCAGAAATTGATTATCAAATCAAAGCGTCGTGGAATTCAACCTGATCTAAAATGCAATTATGTGATTTGATGCATTACATTACTTGAGCTTACAAATAGTACAATTTCTACCAAAAATGCATCGTAAATAAAAAGACGACATTAAACTCTTCCTCAAAAATATGGAATAGTTTGTCATCCTTCTGATGATTTAGGATACTTCGCGGTTCTCAGTCTATCATACCTGAGTCTAGAGTTCATGGGTAGAGAATTTTGAGGATAATGATATAACTGCACTGATATTTGAGTCAAAATGCTCTATAAGAGACTTAGCTATATAGGTTTGAGTCTTTTGACTGTGGATTGTCTTTAATAATGTGAATAACGTTGTTCAAGATATAAGTTTTTAACTTTTTGTTAATTTTTTAATATTCAGTTGTTCTAGATATTCTGCTGTGTTTGTGTGCGAATCTTGTTTTGTTTCGGCTAGATTATCTTAATTTGTAAAATAAATATGGACTTCAATTTTGCTATACCTAATATATTTCACTGTTCTTTAGCTTGTTTTTGAGTTTACTTATCATTCCTTTTATTCATGAACAATAACATTTGTCTGTATTCTACAGTTCGGAATGTTGATTGAATATCTATTTGAAATGTTTCCTAATTGGGAAGATGTTGGGGAGCAAGCCATTGGAGATCTCCAGGTGCGGAAAATCTTGTGCTCAAGTTATGCTGTTTATTGTATATGATGGCATTTATTAAGTCTATAGATGATAAAAAGTTGTATTTAGTGGAGGGAACTGTGATCTTTCCTATGAGTTAGGAGATTCTTGTATGTCAAAAAGGTCCTGATACCTTGTAATAATTTAACTAGGGATAATTTTGGTATTGACCTTATGACACAGACATCTATGAAGTAGAGCAACACACAGGTTTTGCTGATTCTTTGCACTTTGCATGCTGACATCTAAAAAGAACTTTAGCATTCTAGATTTATATGTGCCTGCTGTAAATATACTCGATATATTGTAAAAGAATGTTATTCATCCAACTCAACAGTTCCATATTAGATGAGCGATATACTCGATATATTGTAAAAGAATGTTATTCATCTAACTCAACAGTTCCATATTAGATGAGCGATAATTCATCTTCTGTTGATTTATTTGATTTCAGGAATTCTACAAGGCATCAAAAAAGAGGTTTGATGATGACCCTTCTTTCAAGGAGAGGGCACAACTAGCAGTAGTTCAATTGCAGGTGAATAACCATATTATGCTTTGTAGGTTTCAGATATGGGAGCAATCCTTTGGACTTGCTAGATCATTTGTAGTTGGATGTATAAACTATCTGAAAAGAGTGAAAAGGATAGCTTGCATATCTTTTATCTTCCTTTTATTCTGATTGGTTCTTTGAAAACACTTTTGTTGAAGTCCATTTCCTTTTCTTTACAGGGTGGAGATATGAAGTATCGTAACGCATGGAAAAAGATATGTGAAATTAGCCGTAAGGAATTCGACTTAGTGTATAAGCGTCTTGGAGTTTACTTGGAAGAGAAGGTACTGCACCGTATTGGTATTACACTATTTGTAGCTTGATTAGAATGAGTTTAAATAAGCTACCTTTTGCCAGGGTGAAAGCTTCTACAATCCTTATATTCCAGGAGTTTTGGAGGAATTAACTCAGAAGGGGTTGGTTGAAGAAAGTGAAGGTGCCCGTGTGATATTTATTGAAGGTCAATCTATCCCTTTAATTGTTGTAAAGAAGGATGGTGGATTTAACTATGCATCAACTGATCTAGCGGCTCTTTGGTTAGTATATGTTCCCACTACGTACCCAATTTTCTTTCTGGAAAAGTATCATACCAGGAAATGCAGTGGTCTTTAGGCCATACACAAGTACTGGCTGACATTAGAATTCTAAGTCATTGATTGAGGGCTACAACCATTAACCTTCTGTATGCGCATTGATGCTGTTTTCTTTGATCCTCATTTTTGTTGGGGTGGGGAAGGAATTTTATCGAACAATGCTATGGGCTCCTTTTCCTTGTTGGACCTATATGAATTGAAATCGCGAGTCATCAGAAAGGGAGGGAAAGAATTAAAACATCATGTATAATAGTTCCTATGATGCAACAAGTGTTGTGCTGGCTGTTGCTTACAAGTTACAACCACTAGATATTACCAAAAGTGAACAGAGGTTGCATTCAAATATGCTATAGTAATAAAAATTCTACACTTAGTGGTCACCTATGTTACCTGGGTACTGAAGCCATACACCATACCCAACACGTACCCGTACCCAAACTCCTTGGACACTCCTTGCATATATTCAAACATTTATTCAAGCATGTTCTCAATTATACAATACATGTTTTAATTTAAAACACTTGTCATACATTTGTGGACATATCTCCTATACTTTAAACCCACTTCTTGAAATCGTGAGTCATCAGAAAGGGAGGGAAAGAATTAAAACATCTCATATGATGCGACAAGTGTTGTGCTGGCTGTTGCTTACAAGTTACAACCACTAGATATTACCAAAAGTGAACAGGGGTTGCATTCAAATATGCTATAGTAATAATAATTCTACACTCAGTGGTCACCTATGTTACCTGGGTACTGAAGCCATACACCATACCCAACATGTACCCGTACCCAAACTCCTTGGACACTCCTTGCATATATTCAAACATTTATTCAGGCATGTTCTCAATTATACAATACATGTTTTAATTTAAAACACTTGTCATGCATTTGTGGACATATCTCCTATACTTCAAACCCACTTCTTGAAATTTGTTGGACATAGGTTAGGTTCCGAAATGATTTTGAAGGGTCATTTCGATGTCTAGTTCAAAAACTAGTGATTTTCTAATTTTTAATCCACGTAATAAAAGAAACATAAAAATGTTATAGGACATTTAATTCTCATCCTTGTTCTCATATAAATTATTAATTCCAATATAAAATATATGAGGTGTGAATATTTTAAATAGCTGTGTCCTCGTACCCTACCTTTTACAAATTTGTCGTGTCCTGTACCGGTACCTGTACCCATATTGGCACTTGTACCCGTACCCGTAACCGTGCAACATAGGCGGTGATAGACTGCTAATGAATTAAAGTAATAATTTGGTTTCAGTTTTCAAAAGAAACCTTTAGACCTACCTCATGTTTGTTGCTAATGAATTAAAGTAATAATTTGGTTTCAGTTTTCAAAAGAAACCTTTAGACCTACCTCATGTTTGGGGTTTTGATTTTGGAAAGAAAGATTTGTTTCAGTTTTCAAAAGAAACCTTTAGACCTACCTCATGTTTGGGGTTTTGATTTTGGAAAGAAAGATTTATAACTTCTCTTAGATGGTGCCACATGCAGAACATGTGCCAGAATTCTAGTAATGCTACGTTTGGTTTGACGATGAATGTGATGGTGTATTTGTCTGTTAGAATGTTCTTTAGTATAAGCAGTGAGAAACTTTGTTGTTGATATAAATTATAAATGATTACAGTGCATTTTTTCCCTTACAAGTTTTCTATACTATTTCTAAATCCTTTGCAGAAATTCATTATTACTGCTTAGAAAAAACTTAATGCAACTTGGCATATTTAAGTAACACAATTTAGAAGTACACTTGGGAATGCAGAACTTAGTTCTTGGGTCTAAATTTTATTTTATCAAGTATACCTTGAACTAAAGTTTACAGCTACTGTACTTTTTAGTTCCTCTACTGTTCTATTACTTGGTCGTTTAAAGTACTCCGCTCTCATGCAAGGGATGTTAGCTGAAATTCTGCGTTAGCATGTTCATTTTATAACGGTTTGGCAGCTAAAAAGCAGTTGATCCTTTTGGTGAAATGATTTATTAATTGATGCAAAATGTATTGCTGGCTTCTAAAAGAGGCCATTTTTTACTATTTTGTTCTCCTTCTTCACTGTTTTGTTGTTCCATGAGAAACCTAATTTTGTGTATACTAATTATGTCTTTGATGTTATTTAATCCATTTTAGGTATCGTCTTAATGAAGAGAAAGCTGAGTGGATCATATATGTAACAGACGCTGGTCAGCAGTTACATTTTAGCATGTTATTCAGTGTAGGTACATCATGTCTAATGAATTTTCTATTAGCTTAGCGCCTACAATCCTGTGGCTGTAATCAACTGTTTGATAGCTATTGCTCCAGTGATATAGGCACATGTGATATTTCCTAAGAACATACTTTTGTTGTATGGCCTATGCTATTTTTGACTGCACATATCTCAGGCTGCTAGAAAAGCTGGCTGGCTTCCAGAAAACAGCAATTTATATCCGAAAGCAAACCATGTTGGTTTTGGACTTGTTCTTGGATCAGATGGAAAGCGCTTTCGGACTCGTAGCTCAGAAGTTGTTCGATTAGCAGAATTGCTTGATGAAGCTAAAGATCGTAGTAAAGCCGAACTCAGGACACGTCTTGAGGATAGTGGTAATTAATTTGCCTTCTCACTTTGTCATGTTTGAATTTGATATTTTATCGGCATCTTTAATGAGTTTGTCCATTATATTTGATTTTCAGAATTAAGGAAGCCCATCACATTGATGTTCAATATCATTAATCATGTCTATTTTCTTGATGGTTTATCTTAAACAGGGAAACTTGCAGAATGGACAGACGAAGAGCTTGAAGAAACTGCAGAGGCAGTTGGCTATGGCGCTGTTAAGTAAGGTCTTTTGAAATGTTATTTATCTTTGATTCTCAAATTTATATCTACTACTAATCATTTGATAAGAAATTTTATGTGCATTGCTTTTGTTATCTGTTGTCCATTCTGCGGAATTACTATGCTTCATTTTTCTGAAGTTGGGATATCTCTTCAGTTATTATATATGATCATCATAGAGAACTGCACATGGTTGTGAATAATTAAAGAACAGCTTCGTTAAGATTATCAATGAATAATTATTATATGTCCATACATATACTATTTTCATACATCTAATAGCCTTGTTGATTTTCTTACAAAAATTTGAAAATGGAGATGTGAAAGCAGATGTTTTCACTTTGTTTTTCAGTATATATAAAGGTTTTTGTTAATTGGCCTAAAAAATTTAGACTTGAATATTAATATCTGCTTAATTTGAATGCGTCAAGTCAGTTTGTTGCTTCTTACAAAAATGTAAATGCATCTTTGTCTTTGTTGTTTCTTGTGAAAATGTGGGATATATCTTAGTCTTTTTAATTTTTTTCTAATTTTCCTTGAAAACAGGTATGCAGATCTGAAGAACAACCGGTCAACTAACTACACATTCAGTTTTGAGCAAATGCTAAATGACAAGGTTAGCTGTGTCTTTATACCTTACTCAGGCTTGAGTGTATCTCTTTGACTCCTTGTACGGACAGCAGAGGGCAGTGTTTCCTTTTTAAAAAGTCATGAACCAAGCCATCTGTCAGATAATTACTGAATATAAAATGTATTGCTGTCTGATGGTCAACTACATACTTTTTTATACATTTCTATACCTTATCTCTTATTTTCCATTTTCATTGTTTCATCCATGTGACAGGGAAATACTGCTGTATATCTGTTATATGCTCACGCTCGTATATGTTCCATCATCAGGAAGTCTGGTAAAGATATTAAAGAACTGATGAAGGTAGGGTTTTGTTTATGAATTTCTATATGTAAGCTTTTGTTTTAGATGCTTCTAAGTTTTTTGATATTTTTTATCTGCACTTCTTTTGATGTTATCGTATTTCTTCTTTTTTTTGTTTTCCAGAATGGTACCGTTGTGTTGGCTCATCCAGATGAACGCATCTTGGGGCTTCATCTGATCCACTTTGCAGAGGTATAAATAGCAATTCTGAAAATATGGTGTTTGGCTTGAGCAGACGTTTCATTTTCATGGATTAATTCTTCAACGTTGTTGACTATATGATTAATTTATTTCCCTGATTAGAGACCTTATGCATCGCAGTGGTATTTATTAAGCATTAATTGATTCACGAAACGGTTCTATTACACATTTATGTTCAACTAGTTTCTGTCCAATTTACTCAGAATGTTTGCATTACGAATCAATTGGAAATTAAAAATGTTTGAATTTTTTATTGAGTTCGTCTGCTAGGCAAAAGTTCTGTCAGCTGACCAGAAAAATAAAATAAAATAAAATACAACGTTTTGTTTCTAGTAGCATGTCTATTTTTATGATTTATAAACATTGTGAGAGCTTTCATAATCTGCTAACAATCTTGAACTCCAATCTTGAATATTTCCTGTTATACAATTTTTTACCTACTGCCTCTTAGTGTATGGAGAACCATCTTCCAGTTCATTCCCCAGCAGTCATTGACTCATTGATTACTAGTTGGCCAACAAGCTTCATTTTGTGTTAGCTCCAGTGCACTTATATACATTTCATCCTCCTTGCAATGAACTATTGAGTAGTACAATTTATTCCTTCTTGAGCAAAACTCTGGTTTCATCTGGATTGAGAAAAAGAGGTGCTCACCTTTCCTCTATAAACGAATGTACAAACTAAAATATATTTGCAGCTACCACTCCTTACGAGCAAATTGGATTTCCTTTATGAAATAACTGTTCTCAAGCAAGTAAAGATTTCTATGGATCAAATATCTGTTGTTGCCTTTGTGCTCAAATAGTGTAGTTTGATGCATATCATACAGTTTGCAAATCTTATTTCACAGAAGTTTGGGCTTCCTTTATGTAAAAACAATTGATCTTCCGCGAGTAAATAATATATATGCTTCAACTGTCTATGTCTGCTCTTGTGCTCAAGCAGGTGCTTTTTGTAGCTTGGTGTGTATTCTTCATAAAAGACATCTACTGCTGATTTTATTGCTTTTTATGTTCATAAATGGATTTATTCTCTTAGGTCAGATGGCTCTTGATATAACTATATTAATTTGATACCATGCCTATGTGCTTGTTTTCCTCCTTTTTGTTACCTTTTTAGATGATAAGGTTGAGATGTGTTCCAGCTATATGCATTTAATGGTTTGCATATCATAGTTCATGGTATAAGATTTATGAGCTTGTTTCTGTTTAACTTCATCTAGATGGTTGAGGAGGCCTGCATCAATCTCTTGCCAAATGTCATATGCGAGTACCTGTACAACTTATCTGAAATATTCACAAGATTTTATACTAATTGCAAGGTATGTTATTTTGTTACCTTCCATGTACTGTGATTTGAAGCCTCATTATCAGCCCATGCGTCTTTCACCATCGTTTTGTTTCTTATTTGTCAGAAATAGTGACTGAGAGATTATAATAATAGAAAGTTCACCTCCACTGAAAATGAACACTTAACTTTTGGTGTTTTGTGACATGAAATTGTAGATTAGCGAGACAAAAGATGCTGGACTTTTCAGTATTGCAGTCAGTAGTTAAAATAAGAACTGGAAAGTTGCATGACAAAGCCATATGGGCTTTCTAAATGCAGGGTTTTAGGCAAGGTTCAAAGTAGTGGGAGGCTGATATTTGATACATATTGACCATATGGTATCATGTTTTAAAGTATGCAGATCCAATCCAGTCAAAGCTGATGAATCAATAATATTGGCTAATTATGAGTGATACAAATTGATATGGGCTAAATAATGATTAAAACAATAGAATATGATAAATATGAGGAGGTTTGAAGTGCCAAAAATAGATTTGATAGTGTTTTATTTGGAGAACTGCAAATGAAAAGCTTGTGATTAAGTGGTCTTGTTTCATATATCAATCTCCAGACCAGCGGGAACCCCCCATATTTTTATAGATTTATGGTTTTTTGGTGTATATGTCATATTGGATCATGCCCTTCGATACAGTAAGTATTTTCCAGGTTCTTATTAATATTCTGTTGCACCAGCCTTTTGTCAAAACTGCGTTTAAGCTGCTGCATGAGACGAGTGGAAATTGGTACAAAGTGGTTAAATAAAGGGGCAACGTTACAGAAAGCGGCGAAAAGCGCACCTTAGGCACTCCTTGATGCGAAAGCGGTGCTTTGCTAAGGCCCTAAGCAGTCAACGAAAGCGATGGACTGCTTTCTTCTTGAAAGAGTGATTAAGCGCTTCCGAGAAGGAAACAGTCCAAGAACCCCAGTTTTTTTAGATCTGCTTTGAAAACCCAACCTAATCTCTGTTTAAATGTTTTCATGTTAAAATCCAAACCCGATTTTAAGTTAAAATTTTCCAACTTAAAATCCAAACCTGTTTTCAACTTAAAATCAAAATCCATTGTTGTGTAAAAAGAATTTTTGTATGGTGATGTTGATGGTGAAGAAATGCCTAAGAGTTATTTGTCAAGATGGTGAGATTGAGGATACTGTGCTATATTGAAGAAAAGCAGGATGCTTAAAATGGAGTGTTTTAGAAGTCTGATGTGACCATGGAATACCTATGAGAGACGGAGAACTTTTATATGATAGTTCTAAGACCAACAATGCTTTTTAGATCTGGATGTTGAGTGGTGAAAAGTTAAAAAACAGTATGGAGGAAAAAATGAGCATAACAGAAATAAGAATGTTAAATGTAGGATAAGAGCATTCATTGTAGATTCGAGGTTGCTCTTATCAAGGATTAAATGAGAGAGAATTGATTGAGATGGTTTGACTATGTATAATGGAGGCCAGTAAATGCACAAGCTTTTGTTGTCTCATGAGATTCTATAGCCGTAATATACATTGTAATTGCTGTTCATAGTGTCTACCCTCCCTGAGTTTAAAGTAAAAACATCATATGAAGGAATTGCTTTGTGACTATAGTTTTTCTGATCATTGTTTCTGCATGAAGCAACGGTACGTCAGTTTAATATGAAAGAACCTTTTTAACTGGTAAGGTCTATGTATTCCTGGGTATACATACTAATAGTCTAATACTATCCTCTCAAGGTTGCACATTTCAGTATAAATGCACATTTCCCCCCTTTTTTTGGGTGCTTTTTTTTTTGGTGGGGTGGGGGGTGGGGTTAGGGTTGTCAGGGGGACATTACTTACGTTTTTATGTAACCGTGCTTTTGAACATATCAATATCCTGCGGTTTCGAATCTTTGTGGAATCGTGCAGGTTGTTGGATCAGCAGAAGAGACGAGTAGATTGCTGTTATGCGAGGCGACGGCTGTTGTCATGAGGAAATGCTTTCACCTTCTTGGGATCAAGCCTGTCTACAAAATATAAGGCTACTTTGGATCTTACTTTTCCATTTAGCTTGCGTTCGCATTCATCTTCAAATTTGTCCGTTGTGTTAACAAATTTAATTTTGGTGAGAATTTAAGGGAAAATCCCCTCACTTGGATAACATCTCAAGCTTCTAACCGAGTATGCCATCACGTAGCAGTAATATTGGTTCATGTACTTTTTGGAATATGTACTTGACTATCTATATCAACAATCCTTCTAGTTGGTTGCATTTATTGCTGCTGTCTTTGGGAAAAATATTAAGTTCATCCAGAGTTATGACATTAAGTATGCATCAAATGAATATCAGTCTTAGAATCATCATGATGGGCATAAGTACACTTTTAGAAGTAACTGTTCTGTTACATTTATTGAGTATTATAATAGTAACTGACATGATCTTGAAAAGTGTCTGGTGATTTTTAAGCAATCAATAGCTGACTTTGTGAGATTAGTATGACCTAAACGTTGACCCTACTTCAAAATCTCTAACCTAAATTGACCTAATCCACAGTGAATAAGTGAATGAGTTGCTCAACAAAACCCCAACCCTATACAATATTTAATATTAAAAAAAAGGTTGTCTTAGGGCAGAACATTTTAATTGAAGCCGTATTGCTATAGAAGACAGAAGCCATGTGTTCTAAATTCATTAATCCTATCTAAATTCATTGACTAATTCTTTTGTTTTAAGAGAGGAATTCCATTTTTAATTGGTCTGGCGAAAGGGAAGTTGTCTCAATTTATTTTGGTCGGGGAAAAAACATAGAAGGCCCTCTGCAGAAAATTATCTAGGAAGCAGGTAGATTGTGAGAAGTGTGTTAATGATTCCAATGATACAATAGTTTGATTACTCTAATAAAGCATTTGTGATATTACTAGATGTATTATTGAGGGAATGTTCTTAAGGGCTGTTTGGTAAGATTTCTATAAAAAAAAGGAAAAGTAAAAGTGCTCAAAAAAATTTGTTTTCCATGTATTTCTATTAAAATTTGTAGGAAAAGTTCATAGAAATCCAAAAAAGTGGTGTTTTCTTTTCCTTTTTTTTTACTTTTTCTTTGTTTGGTTCAAAATATAAAAAGAGGTAATTCAACTTTATAGAAAATGTGTTGAGTATTGGAAATAAGTAAGTTTTGTACAAAAATTATTGTTTTATTCAAATGCGTCAAATTTCTAGGTAATTTTCACCAGTATAGATAAAAAATTGATTTCTATAAATCCCCCCCGACTACTTCATAGAAAATATTTTTATAAACTCGGAGTGAACCAGACAAAGTTTAAAGACACCTATAGAAAACTATTATTTACGAGAACGCCATAGGTATTTCCCCAAATTTTACTATGAAACAAGTGAAGCAAACAGCCCCCTTAGAATCAATCATTCTCTATGAAGATCTTAGAACACTTCACTAGCTTGCGGAACACCTGCTAGCATGCGTGATGGTCTGAGATTTATGACTATATTATTCTTATTGCCTTAGTTGTAACTACGGGTGATATCAGTCTTGATTATTTGTCGAGTGGTGTTAGGGGCACACCCACCACCACAACCCCAACCACACTCCTCCTCTCAATGCTACAGTAAACCAGGTCCCACATGGGATTTTAAATTTTTTAAAATCCCATGCGGGGCCCGGTTTACTGTAGCAATGAGAGGGGGGAGTGTGGTTGAGGTTGTGGTGGGTGGTGTGCCTCTAACATTATTTTTATTTGTCAGCAATATCTAATTTTGAAGAGAGTACCTCAAAGGTCCATGGTGTTAAATGTACATCTAAATGATGCCATGTGACCATGTCCATGTGATACTACTCTTAATTTTGTCGCATAGATATTTTATGCTGATTACTGATAAATTGTTTGTGGTTCGGGTTTGAATTTGTTCAGGTAATTAGATCCAATTATGCCGATTATTATGCACCAACAATTATAATTTTTGTTAATAAGCTTTACATTCTTTCAGTGACATTGAGTTTATACATAAATGCCTTATTATTTATATAGCGACGGCGAACGACGCCAGCTGCGGGCGCGACCGCTGCGGGCGGGTGGGCCGGCGGCAGGGCGCGAATGGCCAGCGGCCGCTGACAATGACCTGCCGGCGACGGCGCGAGGCGGACCAGACGCACTTAGCGGCATACGGGCGGTCGGTCTGCGGCCGCGGCAGGCGCGACGGCGGCGGCAGCCGCGGTGCGACGACGGCGTGGCGGCGGAACGACCGACCCAGGGCAGGCGGTGTCAGCGAGCGGGAGGGGCGACGACCGCGATCAGCGGGCGCGCGGGCGGCGACGACCGACCGGGACAGCGGCGGGCGACGGACGGCCGATGGCAGCGGTGGCGCGACAGCGGCTAGTGTGGAGGTGGGTGGTGGACCGCGGCACCCGGCTGGTGTGCGGCGGGATGGGCAAGCGGCGGGTCCGGCGACGACGACTGCGGGCTACGTGGCGGTGGGCGCGGTGGGCGGCGAGTGGTGGCGGCGGGCGGCGAACGAACGACGAGTAGCGACGGGCGGCGGATGGCGCGAACGAGCAGGCGGACGGAGCGGCAGCGCGGGTGAGTGGCGGCAGACGTGCGACGAGCGACGGGTGGTGGCGGCGGGCGTCAGACGGTGCGACGAGCAGAGTGGGGGCGGACGGGCCGATGCCGACGGGCAGCGGCTTAGATGAAAAACGGGCAGTGGCGAGCGGCGGCTAGCGGCTCGCGGGCCAAGAAGGCGGTGGTGGCGGGAGGCGACGAGGCGGTGGTGGCGACGGGCGGCGACATCGACGAAGCCGGCGGATGCGCGGTAGCACGATCGCTTAGATGAAAAAACGTGCAGGCGACGGCACGGTGGGGGCGGCACAGGCGGCGGCAGACGCAACGACAGTGGCGGGCGCAGACGGCCACCGTGAGCAGTGGCGGGCGAGCGGTGACGGACGACGCCGGTTTAGATGGAAGAAAAAAACGGAATCTCAAAACACCCTTTTGATGTTTTAAGAAAAGCGTTCATTTTTTGGATTTTGTAAAGGGTCAAGTCAAATAATCGCTTCGGTTGCCAAATACGTTTCATTGTTTAAAAAAAAAAACGAAAACGGCTAAAACGCCATGGTTGCCACACGCTGAAACGTGTTTGTAAAATTATTTACCTGCAATTATTTTAGAAAATACTTCTTAGTAATAAATAGAGAAGACTATTACTTATGTTGAAAATATAAATATAAGATAGTCAAGTAAAACGATGAAACTAATTAGTATTTTGGTTTTATGTATCTTTTTTATCTCTTCATATGATCTCTTTTATAAGTGAAAAAAGGCCCGTTGTCAAATAAGCGATTGAGATAAATCAGCCTAAGAATATCTCAGGTTCCTAAAAACATGAGAACTCTAACTAATTTTAATTAATTATTAATTAAGTATTTTATTTGTTATATATTGATACCAAATCAGCCTAACTAAACCGATTTAAACTTTTGCTTGCTTTTTGCCTAATTAACTTATGCTGGATTTTTTTCCTCTATACTGATTGAGGGAGAGTTATGTTCTATCAAAACCATCCGTATATGAAAAAAAAATAAATAATCAGTGTTGTTCACGGGCACAAAAAGAGGGGCAGTTTGGGGATTTCAATGCACCTTTTCATGTGGGCCCCAATTTAGTAGAAAAGGCCCAATACGAGATCAAAGTAGTGGCCCATCAATTTCGGGTCACCGGGCGTTGAATCAAATCCAACCCAAAAAACACAACCCTGTTTCTCGAATCATCGCGTCTTCTTCTCCCCGCAAAGCTAAAACCCTTTTTCATTTCAAAACCCTCGATAATTTTCTCGCTTTTTTCCTTCGTTTCCTTTTCCTACTGTTATCGGAAACCCTAATGAGTGGCAAAGATCGTCCCTTGGTAAAGTTCTCTTCTCAATTTCTTCTCTTTTCCACCCTAATTTCGATGCAGTTTGGTGATTTTGAGAGGTTTCTTCGGCGATAAATTTAGGATTTTAAAGGTTTTCTGAAGGACTTGAATGATTGGGATCATTTGCATAGCGATAAAGATCTGAAAATGAATTTTTAAGATTATAAGTTAATTTTGGTGGTAACTTGTTGGGGAAATTTATTTATTGTTTAATTTCTAGCAAGTTTATTAATTTCAAAGTGGTTGGGGCAGGGAAAATTATTTATTGTTTAATTTCAAAGTAGTTGGATACTGTTTATGTATTGAGCAATGAGCAAAGTTGGTGTGACTCGAACAGTCACTGTTTACCAATGTCGTACATGATCAATGTTTTGATTACTCTAGAGCTTGAAACCATTTAGTTGCATGGGAACTTTTTGATCTTTAGATCTCCATGTACCTTTAGGCTCATAGAGTTGTGTAGCCCTCTTTATCTTTGTTCACATTTCATACCTGAAAAATCTTATAATTGAACGAAAACCCAACCTCAACAGAGAACGGGTTTCTTTTGTTTTTTGTTTTTGTTTTTTTTTGGGGTTGGGTGCAACTAAGTGTCTATTTACCTTAAAATAATAGTATAATACTATAAAACTGAAGTATCAGATAGGAATGTACTCAGTGCACTTTGTTGTTGGAAATTTAAATGAGCTTTTATTTTCCAATTGGCTAATTTAAATGACTTTATATTCTAATTTGTGAATATTTTAGCTAGGTAATAGATCTGCCCTTGCTGTGAAAGAAGGAAAAGGAAAACAATTTCTAAGATATTCTAGATCCAGAAGGTATGCAAATAAAGAGTTTGATTGAATAAATTCAAATTTATTTACTCATAACATTTGGGCTGAATCTTCCAATTTCTCAAAGACATAACCCCATTTTTACTCGGGCCGCTAAAGGTAACCTATTACAGTGTCCTTCATATAATCCGTTATGTCATTGTAATTGCCACCCGAATCTCCTTGTAGTTTAGTGATGAAAGACTGGCATAATACTACACTAGCCCTAAGATAATGAAGAAGGGCTTTAATGACCAACCTTAATGGTGTCAAATGCCAATACGACATTGATGCTTTGGGATGTAATAGCCTCTCTGACCTTCTTCAGCACATAGTAAAACGTGTTGGTGAAAATCTTCATTGGATGGTTGAAATAGTTGAAGGATGTATAAGTATATCATATTTACTGCGAACATCTTCTCATAAACATGTAAATCTGCACACTTGTCTAAAAAAATCTGCAGAATGTAATATCCGTGCGGACCTCTTGCATGAGCATATGTTTTTTATCCTTGTGATAAGGGCACTAGTTATTGATAGGTATCAGTTTAAATCATGTGCAGAACATTCCAATATCATGAAGATCTCCATGCATTAGATTTTCTGTTTATATATATAAAATGCTTATTAAATTATGCACTTAACAACATCAACCTCATTCATTTTGTTCTCAATTTCTGTTAAAGGGATCATTGCGGAGCATTGGGAAATTAGGGGAAGAAAAAGGACCTTCGAGAAAGGTTGCTGCTAATGAAGCTAAGAAAAGAGCTACTGCAATTTCTGGATCTACTTCCGGTGACCATGACAAACATTATCTGAACTATGCAAGAGCAGTAGGTCAATTTCCTAGTAGCTTCCTGAGTGATGAAAAATTACCAGATGCAGCTTCAGAAAAANGAGGGTTACATCAGGACGTATTTGTTCTACATTGTAATTTAATGTTCTAAAGCTAAACTGATGTGTATGTTCAACTTGCAGGGTAATGAATGCTTTAAGCAAAAAAAATATCTTGAAGCAATTGATTGTTATTCAAGAAGCATTGCACTGTCTCCCACATCAGTTGCTTTTGCAAATAGAGCTATGGCATACATCAAACTCAAGAGGCAAGTTCCCTGTTCCTGATTCTGTGTTTTTTCTTTTGTGTATGGTCATTTTGCATCTCAGTTTTGCTTCCGAGATGCAACTACAGAGAACATAGAATTAAATGAACTAAACTGTATATCTGTATTCAATTTTCTTTATCAGTAGCAACCAACTTGTAACATTCTCATATTGATCAGATTAGCCATAACATTTCATTTTTCAAGCATTAACCATTGAGTACTATGTTCACTGTTTTCAGGACCAGTTGACAATCTTTACCAGTATTGTTTTATGAGAAGGCTAATATATGTCTGAAAATTTATTGTGAATTTATACTGATTTTCAGTTGTGCTGCATGGTTTTCCCCATTCCTTGAACTTAAGTTTCCATCATTATTTGATGTGTGATAAAATGTCCAATAGATATGAAGAGGCTGAAAGTGATTGTACGGAGGCCTTGAACTTAGATGATCGATATGTAAAAGCATACTCTCGTCGAGCTACAGCCAGGAAAGAACTTGGAAAATTTAAAGCTTCTATTGAAGGTCAGATCTGTCATTATCCTTCTATCCTTTCTGGCTGTTTCTGAGTTTCAGTTATTAGATATCCAAGAACCGTGTGTAGTAAAACTAAAAAAGTTGATTGCAGATTCTGAATTTGCAATTAGCCTTGAGCCTAATAACGTGGAACTCCGAAAACAGTATACTGAGGCAAGAGAATTGCTTGAAAAGGTGAGTACTTTATCCAATGTGCGTGCTGTTTTGTCTTTCTAATAGACTAATACACTATAATATGATGTTTCTAGTAAAAAGCTACTACAATGTGAGAGTCTGATGCTTGTTCTAGGATACTATTATGTTTTATCAGTTTACATAATAGTTTTCTTGTCACCAGTAATTCCCCCCACACCCCCCTCTCCAAAAAAAAGGAAAAAAGGAAAAGAAAAAAAGAAAATGCATTTAGAAAAAAGAACTACATGAGTCACTTACTATAACATGTACTCTCGAAGCACCTTTGAAGCGCCACTCCATTTCAATTATTCTGCAGTAATCAGTGTCCTAGTCAAATCTAACCGTGCTTAATGAATGATCTTAATGATGAACCCATCCATGTCTCAGTGTTTCTTTTCATCAATTCAAAATTTTTGTTGTTTTATATTGTTACTGATAACCCCATTTTCATTTCTGCATGCAGTAATCATGTTTAATTATCTGATTTGTTATTTGTGGATTTTCAGCATGCTATACTATCTTGTATATTGTCGTGAAAGATGTTTTCTGAAATGTTTTTTTGACATACGGTGCTTAGTTTTTTTTGTTGTAGCGTCATGTTTATTTGGTTTCTTTTTACCTTCGGACTAATAGTGTTGTAAAAATTAGAAAGAACCTGAATCATGATTATGCATATTTATGGACCCAGGAAATCTCCAAAAAGCACTCTGGTCCATCAAAAAGCTCTGGTCAAGGGATAAAAAGAGCTAATATTTTGGACGCGGCAATGAAAGGTGTTCAGGATTTGCCTTCTGTGTCAAGCACTGCTGCTATGGCATCAGCTACTTCAGTACAAACCGGCAATGTGGTATGAATAAAACTTCTGACAATATTTAAAACGGGCCTTCTTGTAGTTGGTGATAATAAATGATTAATGCATTAATATGGGCCATAGTGTACAAAACCAATGGGAATTTTTGGGTAAGAACCACATGAACAAAAACATGTCATTGTCTCTTTTATGTTGTAGATATTATGAAATCCAAAATGCTCTGCTAACGCTAAATGTCTTTTTGTGAACCAGTAATTGTAGGGTAATTTGTGTTTTTAGCTATTCACATGGCAGTCTGATTGTACCTTTTCAGGATACTACTAGTGGGAAAGCTTTCAGTAAGCCCCTAATTGCTGCCAATAAGGTGGATAGCAAAGGTACAAGTAAAGAAATTGAGAGCAGGGACTTAATGAATGGATCACATGGAACAGTAGCATCAAGCTCCATTGATGGAGGGGTAAACGTACGTCACAGAATCTAACTACTTGATTCAGTAGCTTGAAACTAGTTGGACGCAATATTTCTGAAATATTCAAACTGTGATCTGAATGATCAAAATGAAGATGTCACGATTAGTTCACATCTTCGCTACAAAAGGTAGGTTCATCATAGAAACCACCTTTAATATATGGTCATCCTATAGAAACCACCTTTCATTTTAAAGTCATATATAAACCACCTTTAAAGTGCTTTTTTTGGCAATCAACCCACCTGAGCCCACCTTCAGGTCCTGTTTATTCGATTCTGCTTTATAATGCAGTCTAGATACCAAATATATTAGAGAGATGGTCCTTAATAGAGGTTAGGTAGGGTCAATTATTGAAATAACTTAAATGAACAGTGGGCTCAGGTGGTTAATTGCAACAAAAAAAATGCTTTGAAGGTGGTTTATGCATATATTGAAAATAAAAGGTGGTTTCCATAGGATGACCTTATTTTAAAGGTGGTTTCTATGGGGAAAAAACCCCTAAAGCATAATTTTTTTTTTTCTGTTCATGACAATCTGGTAAGCTGAATGATCTGTTCCTTGGCATATAAAATGTATAAACTAATTGTTATTTTTCTGTCAGATATCAAAATACATTGAATAGAGTATGTGGCGTGTTGTTAGAAAGATATGAGAAGGAAGTGACATCTTCTTATGGAAACAATATATTAGGCATAGGTGGTGAAACTGTGAACGGTCTGCAATGCAAGATCTGCCTGTTGATAGAAAAGATGTGTACTTCCCGAAACTTAACAAAATGTGATGTGCATCACCAGTTCAAAGGTAGAAATTTAAAGCAAATTGACTGAACCAAAATCAACCAGCAAGGATAACTATCCATCCACTGCTTCTGTCACATAAGCAAGATACTTTATTTTGAAGCAATTGAGTTTTTTTTTTTTGCGTTCTTCTTCTTTTAGAAGAAATGATCTTTCTTCTACAATCACATAGTTGCCTGCAATGTCATATACATTCAGGTTCAAGAAGGTGTTATCCGTCGGAAGCAGGACCTGGATGCTTCAATTCAAAATCTTGCATCTCGTGCTGCGTCTCGAGTAATGCAGCCACTGTAAAAAATATTTCAGCTCCAAAGTCGGCTTATGAGTTTGAAGTTTCGTGGAGAGCACTCTCTGGTGATTCTGAAAAGCAATCTTGTTTGCTGAAGGTTTGTCATATCTAAAGAACAGCTTTGGTTAATAATGTTTGGTGATGCTTATACTGAATTTCTTCTTGTTATCAGATGATACCGCCAGCTACATTACCTAAGATTTTCAAAAATGCTCTGTCTGCTCCTATGCTGATTGAAATTATCAAATGCACTGCAGCAATTTTCAAGTATTTCCTCTTTCTAGATATATACTGTGTTTACTCTTTGACCTTGTGATTTAGCTTTGCTCAAGATTTTACCTGGATTTTTGTGTTCTTTTTTTAGGGAAGACACTGAATTTGCTGTGAGCATTTTAGATAATTTGACCAAAGTCCCAAGGTTCGACATGATAATCATGTGCCTTTCTGCTGTTGATCATGCTGGTAAGTTTAGTATAACTCTTTAGCCTCGAATAAAAGGGCTCTAAGTGTTAGCAGTTCATGCACTACTTTAATCTCTGCTGGTGACTAAGTGTTAGCAATTTTGATGGCAAAGCCATCCAATAACAACAGAATGCGCTACTTTAATCTCTGCTGGTGACTAAGTGTTAGCAATTTTGATGGCAAAGCCATCCAATAACAACAGAATGCTGGTGACTAAGTGTTAGCAATTTTGATGGCAAAGCCATCCAATAACAAAATTGAGAGAGAGAGGGAAAAAAGAGGGAGGGAGGGAGGGAGGGAGGGAGGGAGGGATCAAATGAGCTGCTAATTGATGCATGTTGAACTGACAGAAATCCACCACCAATGGGAGCAAGTATTCTCCATGAAGGATATTCGAGCTGATCATGTTGATGTTCTCAATAAACTGCGGCCAAAATTCTGCTATGGCCAGTGGCAGGCTCATGTTCTTGGATCCAATGGGCGGCCAAAATAAGTATTATCTGTGAGTATTTTATTAAATTATTTTATTCTATTCATATGCCCGTAGTTTAAAACATATTTCAACGGTTGGCTTTCTCCATTTGCTGTATAAAGGTTCCTTCCCTTTTATACGAATGGTTCATCCTAATGTGAAACATAATATACATGTTTTATATGAATGGTTCATCCTAATGTGAAACAGAATATAAATGTGGTTTATGTCTGAAAAGTATGTTCTTGGTCACGAATTAGCTTCTGTGTTATCCTACTCTATAATTTTTTTTAACGACGGGAATAATGCAGAGTAGCCAAATTTTGCCTAATCTTCCTCACAAATTGAGAAATTAAGTGTTTATTCTTTTGTTTCAGGTTACGACTTGTAGAAAATTTATGGTTATTTTTCTTGGTTCATACTTTGGTAATGTAAGTTATCCATTTCAAGCGTCCATCAGAGCTAAACTCCTATTATGAAATGGCACACATTAGTGTAAATCTGTTTATTTTAATGTCTAACGTGAAATATATTTTCCTTATGAAAGGGCTGAAGCATTGCTTGTTTATCTTCTGTTCTGTGCTTGCGACAGTTGGAGAGATCTCGGTTACGACTTCAAACTAGTAAGAGGCATGTATGATGAGGATAAAAAACTTCATGCGGTCTGTAATTTTGTTGTTTGGAAGGAAAGCAATAATTTGTAAATAGTGTATCAATTAAGAAACAAACTTTGTATTTTTAATATTTGATATGTGCACCTTAGATGAGTTTAATTTCTTCAAACCCACCTTCGAGAGTGTAATTTGATGTGGATTCTGTGAAGGAAATAATCGTATGCTAAGGGGCTGTTTGGTTCGTTTTTTAACTCGGTGGAAAAGTTTTACACCGCCTTCACATCAGATTTTTCGTGGTCACGTAGGATATAAATTTTTCGTCGGTTTTTTTTCCATATTTGGTTCGTTAGGGTTGAAGAAGGGAAATTCGGTGAAAATCGCCGCCACATCAGATTTTTTTCTCCTCCAATTCCTTCCTCAACCTCGTGAAATCGACGAAAACTGCAGTCACGTCGGCTTTTTGCCATATAAACAAAAGTTTTTCCTTTTTTTCCATGCGAACCAAACACAAGAAAAATAAATACATTGGTTTTCCACCATTTTTTTTTGCGAACCAAAGCGAAACAATCTATTTCTTGGAAAAGTTTGGAAAACTTAAAATTTGTGTTTTTGTACATGAAAATGCATTTCCCTATATCTAAAAAACGAACCAAACAGCCCCTAATATTCAAAGTGATTACATGCTAGTCACATGTACTACCCGATAAAACTAATAATACCAATTGGTCGTATTGATTACAAGTTTGATATCTCATCTGATCATAATTGCAAAGAGCTGTAATAGTTTCATTTGTATGCTAATTATGGCTTCCTTTTACAACAGGTGATGGTGGTTAATTCGTAATTGCGAGCTTCTAGCCTTGGATTGTTTAATTTTAAAAAAATTAATACTGAGAAATCTAATATTTGAGGATATTTTGATTGTAGCGTGCGTTCTCAGGAGACTTGCAGATTTTTTTTTTTTTGTTAATCTTGTGGATGCTGTTTTACTTGAAGGTTCCGGGGTTTTGAGTGATAGATTGTATTTTACCGTCAGCTTGTTGCATGTCACATTCATAGTTTCATACTGATGCGAGCTGCGAGGAGGGGGAGAATTTTCATTTCCCCCCCTCTATTTGTAGTTTGGTCCGTGTAATAAAATCTTAAGCTTTACCGTCTTTCAATTTTATCACTTAACTAGACCTTGATGGGATAAGAAATTATCATATGGGTAGAATATCAGGGTTATAGATAGACCTGTTATATATTAGATCTTCATGTTTCCAAACTAGACTATCGATGATAAAAGCGTGAGCCTTGGTTACACCAATTTAATTGATTTTGGGGCGTAAATTGAAAATTTTACGGGTGCTATTAAAAATAACCTTATGGAATTTTAAACAAAGAGTTGACAGTCTAATGTAACAAAAACCAAATTAGAAAATATATCAATGATTGATCGTATATAGGAGTTTTAAACAAAGGCACCTCGAATGGACTTTCGAGTCTTGGACGAAGGAGCAGTTTCATTTTTTGAAATTTCTTTTTTATTTGTCAAGCAACGGAAGCAAAGGTAATAAATATATTTTAAAGTGTTCTCCGCCTCTTTCTAATTTTATTACGTACTACGTGATTAACTTCCAGGCACACCATAACAACAATTTAAACTAAATTGCAAATATGAAGATTTGAGGATCTATTATAACAATATAACATAAATCAGGGTCTAATATGAAAAAACCTCATAAAAACCATTCTATAGGTCCTAAGATGCAATAAGTGAAGTCACAAGGACCAAATAGTGCAAACAAAACCCCCAAAGAAACAGAACCAGAACACAATTACAAGATAACGAAGAGTCCAGTTCCAAATTGTTCCGGCCAAAAAAAGGAGCCGCCTTTTTCTCCGTAACGTATCGGATAAGGCGGCCGAAACAAATCCGCAGAGCAAGAAGAAATCAGAGGGAAACCGAGCTCATCAATGGCGAATTCCTCTTGCATCTCGGCGTCAACTACAACGTCAATTTCCCCTCTCAAAACCCCCGTCAAAAACCCCAACCCTAAACTTCAATCCATCCGCCTCCTCCCTCCTTCCTCCAGGAAACCAGCTTCAACCATCAGAGCAGCGTATTCGAGCCCTCACTGGACCTCGCGGCCCAATCAAAGGACGGGGCTTTGGTCAATTAGGTGAGCACCCGCTCAGATTTGTGAAAACCCTAGAAAATTTGTGGTGTTTTCGTAATTTTCGGATTGTTTGGTAGGGATTTGGTCAATTAGATAAGCAGCAGCTCAGATTTGTGAAAAAACCCTGAAAACGTTTTGGCTTTTTGTGATTATCGGATTGCTTAGAAGGATGTGTTCAGTTAGATAAGCGCTACTCAGATTTGTGAAAGCCCTTAAAAAAGTTTACTTTTTTTAATTATTGGATTGTTTTAGGGAGGATTTGCAAATGCCGGCATCACCGTACTTTCCGGTGGAGGCGCAGGGGGGGCAGGGCCCATCGCCCATGGTTCAGGAGAGGTTCCAGAGCGTTATCACTCAGCTCTTTCAGCATGTAATTTTATTTAATTTGTTCAACTTTCCGAGGTTTCTTTTTGTGAAATTTAAGTAAAGATTTGATTTTTATGAATTTTTTGATTGTAGAGGATAATAAGGTGTGGTGGTGCTGTGGATGATGACATGGCAAATATTATTGTGGGGCAGTTGTTGTATCTAGATGCTGTAGATCCTACAAAGGTATCATCTTTCTTGTGTTCGAGTTTACTTGCATTGAGATTATTAGTAAACATGTGGGCTATTGAGTGTTAAAACAGTTTAAAGCTTCATGTAGATGTATCAAATGGCTAATAGGTAATTTTGAGTACCTGATCTATAGTTCACATTCTTAAATGCATATGCACAGTCCCTTGCCTTTTCCTTTGTCCTTGTTATAATCAAGCTTTATGTTCTTCACTTTATTTTGAGTAACTAGTATAATACACAGTGCTTTGCACGTGAACATACATGTTTTAAGTTTTGAATTTTTTTTATTGAATAGTAAAACTATTTGTTAATAAATAAAGTTGTATAATAATATTGCTTAAAGGGAAATGTATGAATTAATTGTTATTGTGTAGTTATTGTAATTGAATGTTTTTCTTATAATGATCGCCTAGTGCTAACCTTTTTCTTAAATAAGTTCCGCAAATCTAAAATTGTTCTTAAATAAAAGTGCTAATTCTATAAGTTCTCTTAAATATGCCCTCTCCAACTTGAAAGTTGTTAACTTAACTCTAAATTAACTAAGCTGCATTAATCCTGCTAGCTTTTTCTTGATGTTCCTTGATACCTTCAACATATTGCAATCATTACTTCTTATTATGATTATTTAATAGGATAAATTACAATAAACCCTCATGAACTTCCATCCCCTATGAACTTTCAAAATCACACTAAACCCCTAATGATTTATCTGTTTCAAAGAAAACCCAATAACTTTATATGAATTTTGCAGATAACCCCTATAAATTAGAACCGAAAATGGCATAAAAAGGTATTTTGAAAGTTATTGGGGGGTTTTGTGTAATTTATCTAAAAGATATTGATGGCTTTCTACAAAATTTATTAGGGGTTTAGTCTGATTTCAAAAGTTTATAGGGTCTATTTACTGCAAAATGCTAAAAGTTCATGTGGGTTTACTATAATTTATCTTATTTAATATTATAGTTCTTAGTGCAAGTAATATTATTAAAATAATTATGCTATTTATATACTATAAAATATTTATCTAATTTAATTTTTTTAAATTATGCTCGTAAATAATTTAGTACTATTATTAATATTAAATATATTTTTTGTGGTTGTACTATTATTAATATGAAATAATTTATTGTAAAAAGGTTAGATTTCAATCATCACTAAATATAGATTATTAAGTATCATATAATAATCTTTGAGAAAATACTCTAAAAATAATATTAAATTATTTATTTAATTTATTAATGATATAATACTAAATAAATAGTGTAATTCGTAATTTATGTCATATTATTGAAATAATTACACTATTTACATAATTAAATATTTATTCTATTGCTCATTGAATTATAGTATAATTCTTAATAGTAGTAATATATTATTCTAACTTTACTATTATTTTATTAAATTCATAAATAATTTATAATAATTTAATTGGTTACTACTAATAATTGTGTATACTTTTTTATATAATAATTTATTATATTATTTTTAAACAAATACTAGTTATAATATTATTGACTATGTTGCCTAGATACGGGTACGGGTGCGGGTATAGGTACGGGGCACGGTAAATTTATAAAAAGTAGGGTACGGGGACATGACTGTATATATATAAAATAATTAACTTTAGATCAGTATTGAATTAAATACATATTACATTTGCAAATATACCCCAAAATATGACAAACATCCCTCAAAATATTACAATATATTGTTTAAAGTTGCAAATATACCTCCAAAAGTTAGTTCTATATCCCAAAAACTTACAACTAACTAGCATATTCCAAAAATTAAAACTATATTCCTTGCATAAGAAATAGAAAAATATTTTTATTTTAATTAAAAATTTTGAACTAATATTATTACTTATATAAACCCAAACCCAAACCCCTCCCCATATAAAACCCAAACCCAAACCCAAACCCCCCTCCTATATATAACCCAAACCCAAACCAAAACCCCTCCCCATATAAAAAAACAAACGGGCGATGAAAAAAACCCAAACCCAAACCCAAACCCAAACCCCTTCCCATATAAAACCTCAACCACCCCCTCTAGGGTTTTCGCCGCCTCCCATTTCTCCTCCGTCTTCGTCGCCTCCTCCCATTTCTCCTCGCCAATCTCTAGGGTTTCTGTCGTCGTCGTCGTCGTCGTCGTTGAGAAACACGATTCGTCGTCGAGGAGCTGTTTCGTCGTCAAGGCGCTGAAATTGCTTCGTCGAGGCTCCTGATTTCGTCGTCGAGGAGCAGGATTCGTCGCTTCCGTTGATGGGGTCGTCGCTTCTTCGATGGGTTCGAAGGTAGTGAAGGCAGAATCGCTTCAGAGCACTAGGTATTTCAAGGTGATAAAGGCAAAATTTTAGGTTCGTTTTTTTTCTACCTCGCGAGTGAAGTAACCGTGTCCCTGCCGTTTGGGTGCAGATCCACACCCAATACGTACCCGACACGGGTACGGGACCAAGACCAAAAATCCTGTGTCGGGGTAACATAGA